CCAAACCACCAAAAAGAAAATCAACCTTCTGCTGGTGACTTCTGACTCAGATGATGAAAATGAACATGCGTCGGTCCGCCTTGCTTTGGATCGTTATTGAGCAGAACCCATCATCAGCATGGACGAATGTCCTCTGGAATGGTGGTTGAAGCATGAAGGGACATACGAATCTTTAGCGCATCTGGCACGTAAATATCTTGCAGCACGAGCTACAACAGTGTCATGTGAACGCCTGTTCTCACTTTCAGGTGACATTGTAAACAAGAAGCAAGCAGCTTTATCTCCTGAAAATTGTAACCGAACTTGTTTGTCTGAGCGATTGGCTGAAGTAGGACTGAGTGGACTGGTAGGCCCTAAAGTTTTTACATTGTTTTATTTTTGAATGCAGTTATTTTTTGTACATAATTCTACATTTGTAAGTTCAATTTTCATGATAAAGAGATTGCAGTACAGTATTTGTTTAAGTGAATTGAAAAATACTATTTATTTTGTTTTTTACCGTGCAAATATTTGTAATAAAAAATAAATATAAAGTGATCACTGTACACTCTGTATTCTGTGTTGTAATCGAAATCAATATATTTGAAAATGTAGAAAACATCCAAAAATATTTAAATAAATGGTATTCCATTATTGTTTAACTGTGCGATGAATCCATGCAATTAATCCCGATTAATTTTTTTAATTGCTTGACAGCCCTAGTGTATGCACATGCGTGTGCATGCGTGCAATGGAGGTCTCAGTGCATAGGAGAGTGTGTGTGTGTGTGTGTGTGTGTTTACAGTGGGGGGAGGCCTCTCTATGGGAGGGTCTGTGTGGGGGATGGTGGAGTCAAGGGTGTCTTGCAAGAGTGCACAGTTGTACGGGAGGATGGCTGTGATGTGGAAATCTCAGTATCAGCATGTGGGGGGAGAGAAGAGGGCCTCTGGGTGGCCAGGGTATACGTCTGTGCGGGAGCTGTCTGTTCCAGTTTGTGGAGGAGGGGGACTCTGTGTCTGTGGAGGAGGGGAGGGAGTTCTCTGGAGGGGAGGGTCTGTGGGGGAGGTAGGGAGTCTTTACCTGTATGTCAGGGAAGGGGATCTCAAGTGTGTGTGTGTGTGTGTGTGCACACGCACGTTGAGTGAAGTTTCCAGGTGTGTGTGTGTACAGAGGGGCGTCTCTGCGTATGTGTTTGTGTGCGGGCATGCAATGGAGGGGACTCTGAGTGTGTGAGTGCAGGGAGGGGGGTTTCCGAGCATGTGTGTGAGAGAGGAGGAGATGGCTTCTGTGAGTGGATGAAGCTTGTGGGGTTTCTGCTTGTCTCTGTCTCTGTGGGTCTCTCTGTGTGTAGGGTCTGGGGCGGGGGAGACCTGGGAGCACATGCAGGGAAGGGGTGTGTGTATGTGTGAGTGAACGGTATTCCCACACCTTGAATACTGCATGCAGTTCTGCTTGCCCCATCACAAAAAGGATATATTAGAATTGGAAAAAGTCCAGAGAAGGGCAACAAAAATGAGGAGGAGGATGGAACAGCTTGCATACGAGGAGAGATTGAAAAGAGTGGGACTGTTCAACTTGGAAAAGGAACGTCTAAGGGGGGGATATGATGGAGGTAAAAAGTCATGAATGGTGTGTCGAGCAAGTGAATAGGGAAGTGTTATTTACCCCTTCATATAATACAAAAGAACCAGGGGTTGCCCAATGAAATTAATAGGCAGCAGATTTAAAACAAACATAAGGAAGTGCGACTTCACACAACACTCAGTCATCCTGTGGAACTCCTTGCCAGGAGAGGTTGTGAAGGCCAAAAGAATAACTGTGTTCGAAAACAAATTAGATAAGTTCCTGGAGGGTAGGTCCATCAATGGCTATTAGCCAGGATGGTCAGAGATGCAACCCCATGCTCTGGGTTTCCCTAAACCTCTGACTTCCAGAAGCTGACAGGATGACAGGGACTGGATCACTCGATAAATTGCCCTATTGTGTTTACTCACTCTGGCACGGGCTACTGTCAGAAGACAGGATATTGGGCGAGATGGACCATTGGTCTGACCCAGTATGGCCGTTCTTATATTTGTGTGTGTGTGTGTGCAGGGAAAGATTCTGTGAGTGTACAGGGAGGGAGTGGGGGGGTGGAGGTCTGTGTATATGTGTAGGGATGTCTGTGTGTGTCTGGGAGCTTCTCTGTGTCCAGGGTCTATGTGTGTCAGAGTCTCCCTGCATTGGGGACCTCCATGCACAGGGTCTCTCCATTGGGGGTATCTCTGTGTAGTAGGGAATGTCTCCTTTGCTCCCCGCTCTCCTACTCGGCTGGGTTTACAGGGCCCTCTGAACTGCTGCTCTCCCTCACTTGTTGAGGAGCTTCTGCGGGAGAAGGAGCGGTTCCCTTGGAAACCTCTGGATGCCCAGCAACAAGTCGCTGGCAGCTGCCATGTGACCAGGTGCATTAATCAGACATGTTGTATGAATCAGGTCAGCTGGGGCCAAAGTCCAGCTTGCTCTCTCTCCCCATCTTCCCCCCGCCCCCAGTTTTGGTTGCTAATTACCTGAATTACCTCCACGGCTGTTCTGAGCGGGGAGTGGAAAACAACTTGAAATAATTCAGTAAAACAGCGACCTTTCCTGTTGTGGCTTTCCTGGTCCACGCCAGACTTTCCCTTCAGAAACCAAATCTGTCCCATCCTCACCCTCATGGAGACAGACTCTGAATGCAAATGAGCCAAGGAAACTTCACCCAGAGCAAACATTGGGTGAGAAGCAAGAAAGCCCAGAGGAAATTAATTCAAGCCACTGATGCAATGAATTTCCAGGTCTCTGTTTGCAACAAGTCCTGCCTGTTGCAAAACATAGGTCAACGTTTTCAAAAGTGGCCTCTGATTTGTCATCCTCAGGTTTTGGTTACCTGGCTTGAGACACCTTGGTCTCGATTTTCAGAGATATCGAGCACCCATGAATCAGCCCCTTTGAAAATCAGGCCCCTGCTGTCTCAGGTTTAGCACCCAGAATCACTGGCCAGAATCACTAATTAAATTGCTTGCTGGGGACCCACAACTAGAACCCTGATCCAACAGCTCAGGTTTCTACCAAATGAGCCGGCAGGGAAGCACCTGCTAGGCTACCACATCCCTTATTCGTTCTGGGGGCCCAGCCGCTTGTGTGCTATAGCCATCATTCACAGACACAGAGCTGGTGGGTTTATTCCTAGTGCTTCCTAATGGTCCATTTCTTCACACCGCCCCCAGCAGGGTCCTTTTCCTGCTGAGTCAGGAGCAGAACACTGCATGCCAGAAGCTGGAGGGGAATCAGAGCAGAACTCTTAGCTGTAGCTCAGAATTAGAGTGCGAAGGCCGATACCACGCTGGGTTGTCAGGAGGTGCTGGTGAGTAGGAGTGCAATGAGAGGAACAAAGGGAAGGTTAAAAAGGGCCAGACTAGGCTAGCAATAGCCATGGACTCTGGACCAAATCCTGAGATTCTTACTCCATATGATACTCGGGCTTGGATTTGCATAGCCACCTAAGGGAATGGACTTATGCTCCTAAATCATTTAGGTGCTTTTGGAAATGCTCCTAACTCCCGTAGGTGCCTTTTGAAAATCCCAGCTTGAGCCGCTTCCCCTGAAACGTGTGGTGGTTTTGCCTGGGTGAAGACTGGTCATGGCCATCAGCATTCGGCTCCCTCTGAATGAGAATCACTCCCGGATACACACAGTGACAAGGCTGTGACCTCTTCTTCACCCAGCACACCAGTCTCCACTCTTTGTGCTATGACTGATGCATAGGCAGGGACCAGGTACTGCTCAGCCTCCGTGTCTTCTTTCAGAAAATCAGTGTCCGTGCCTCTTAGGGCATCCACGACATCATGTCTGAGCAAGGGCACACGCTTCACAAAGCCATCTGTTATTTCAGGGAGCAACAAAACCCACATTCTGAGGTGTAAAATTAGCCTGAGGCTTTGGCCCTTAGTCCTTGATTGCACTGAAGGCCAGAACAGAGAAGCAGGAGACAGAGTGGCTGGCTTTATTCTAATCAGGATTAATAGCATTTATTGCGACTCAGAAATGAGCTCATTGCACTAGACCCAGATCAGAAGAGCACAATTTTTACTCCAGGAGTTTCATTCAGTCCATTGTTAGCAAGGGTGCCAGTTGCAAAATTCAGATCTGGATTTGGATTTCAAATGCCTCCAAAAGTTTGGGGTTGACCAAACCTGGGGCTTTGGCTTAGGACCATCTTGATCAATAACCATTTATTTTTACTATTAATTATTATTCTTAATACAGAAAAACGTGGACAGGCACCATCTGAGAGGTGTGCGTGCTACATGTTGGAAGGATTTTGTCTGGAGGGGTGATTTGTCCTGCAGCTAGACTCTAAGAAACAGCTGTCTTGCCTTTTTGCATGAGGTTTATAAGAGAACCAAATGGATTAGATACCCTCAGCTTTGATTTTGCAAGCCTGCCCAGTGGCTCTGGGAGGAGATGGTGGGATGGATAAGTTTATAAGCACAGACAGTGTTATGTCTACAGATTAGGGTGTTAGAATGAGAGTAGGCCACAGTGATGAATGGGGGGGGGGGGCATAGACTCGGCGATGCTGGAGGGAGGAAGGGCACATGTCTGGGAAGCGTGGTGCCCAGTGGAAGAAACAGGGATTATCAATTCATCTAGCTGTCTATGGCTTGATCCTGCCAGGTGCTGAGCACTTTGGTCCAATCCAGCAAAACACTTAAGCACTTGCTTTAATTGAAACACAGGGACAGCCTCAGTGACTTCCCTGGCACTACGTGCATGTGTACCTTTCCCTGCACATACATACACACACCCGAGTTTCCTGGAGAGGAGATTGCTCCTGATCACAGCCCAGCCTGTACCAATGGCAAGAGGCTCCAGACTCAGCCTCCCTGAGAGAGAGACAGACAGACCTGTTGCTATCTGCAATCATTCCAACCTCCCCGCCCCTCACCCTGGGAGGAGACTATTATGCCGAAGCCAGAGGCTACTATCTATGATGTAATCTGTGCATTTGCAATAAAAAGCAAGATCTCATTGGCCAGAATAAAGAGCCCCCCCACCCGGGCACTCCGCCCAGCTGCCTCCCCAACGGGCTATAAAAGCCCACAGCCAGATGCAGGGCAGCTTTCCTGGACCCCGGGCTTGCACAGGTGACCTAAGGGACAGGTGAGTGCTTCCGCGGGGTTCTAACGCCCTCCTGGGAGAGCCCGGGGCAGGGGTGGGAGCTGCTGGGCGAGTCGTCTGCAGGGCCAGGCTAGGGAAGCCATGGGGGGGGGGGTGCAGCCCCAGCCACCTGTAGCGTGTAGTTCTGTCGCTGACTACTTCCCCCCGCCCCCAGTGAGGAGGGGGGAGAAGGGGAGATGAAGTCCACTAACATTAGACAATTGGAAGGAAGGAAGGAAGGAGGGAGGGACTCTGCTGGGTTTGCTGTGGGGCAAATCCTGTTTCCTTTTGCTTGGGATAAAGGGCGCTGCTGGGACTTACCTGTCCCGGGGGGGGGGCGAGAAGTGGGGGCCGGGGGGCTGCTCTCCTCCTCCAGCCGTCGGGGGCGGGCAGCTTCCCGGGAGCCCCAAGAAGGCGCTGGGAGCCGATCAGCACCCTGGACAGAGCCCCCGAGGCAGAACCAGCGGGGCTGGACAGCTCCTGGCAGCGCCGGTGGGGGCGAAGGCGGGTCCCGGGGCGGTGGGGCGGATTTGCTCGCTCCCCGCGGGACGGGGGAAAGTTCCCCGAGCGCCCCGGTTCTTCCCTGCGACTCCGGGAGGGAGCTGGAGCGAGTGTCGGGCGGGGAGTGTCCTGGGGGAGGGCGCTGGGATGCGGGGAGGTCAGGGCTGGAGCTCCCGGTCTGGGGCTGACACGGATTGGTCCGAATGGGTCACTAGAGGGGGGCTGTGGACTAACCCCTGGGGCTGGAGGGATAGCTCCGAGATGGGGGGGAGGGTGTGTTAATAAGGGAAATGATGATTCATTAGCAATAATGCTTTATGCAGCACCTCCCGGTGCAAGTGATACCAAAGTGTGCCTCTTTCTTTCTTTTTCTTTTTCTTTTTCTTTTTCTTCTATATGTTTTTTCACCCTTTCTGGGCTCAGAAATGCAGCTGCCATGAACGTTTCGAGGTCCAGCGACAGTCTTTACAAAAAGTAAATAGGGGAAGTGGTGAGAAAATGATCGAGCTGAAACTAGAAGGGACGCTGGAGAAGTAGAAGGTAATTAGCTGAATTGGGATCTGGCTGGGACTCAGGGGCTCGCCCGGTGCAAGGAGAGAGTGAAAATGTGGGCTGTGTTTTGCCGAATATGCCTAACCAGTCAAGGTAAGAAGCGTTCCCAGCTATTGGGTCTTCTCAGTGTGATCTGGCCGGGTGCAGGAAATATGAAAGCATGTTACGAAGCTGAAAAGAAAGGCATTGCTTTCTGTGATCTTCACCTAACCCATCCGAATTTCCGGAGCTGAAAACTTTATACTGAGTTAGTTAAAATAATTATTTTTTTAAAATGTAGCTTACATGGGGTCTCGGGTGTTTTGATGTCAATTTCTATCTGTGAAGTTGCTTTTAAAGTTGATCTGTGCTTGCCCTCCATTGGGGATGTTGTATATTTCAGGAATCTGTCACTCCTGAGCTGGTGCGGAGAATGAATTCCTCACTGGCTCCTGAGCTAAAACATATATTCGGTAGCTCATCCCTATTCAGCTAAGCCCTTAAAATCGTGCTTCTATTTAAGCTCGGGCTTAAGTCCCATTGTCTTCAGTGCTTAATGTGCTTAAGCATTTTGTTGATTAGGGATGGATTTAAGTACATGCTTAAATACCTTGCTGAACAGAGGCCCAACCTGCAGAATAACCCAAGGCTCAGCATGTCACTTTGTTGAATCATTACATCTAGACCCCCAGTGTATTTTTTTAATATTGTTTCTTAAAGGCGGGACAGGGCACCTTTACTGAGAAACCAACTCACTAGCCTCCATTGCTGGGACATTTCTATTTCTGAATGACATACCTGAAAACAACAATATCCTCTGGAAAAGAAAATGAATGGCACTTCAGTTATGGCCTTGCAGCCTTCCTGTAAGTGCAGCTATATGCACGTTGAACAAACAATTGCAGGGATTTCTTTCTCTAGAACATGAATAGGGAAATGTCTCCCTACTAAAGCCCTTTAGCATCTCACCAGTGCTGTTCCCCATCAGTTCCACTTTCACATAGTGCCTGGATCCTCTGAGTGTTCTTGCTTTGATATGGCACAGTCTTGGGGTTCACTTATCCTAATGAGCCATTTAATCTATCACATCATTGCAGTTTCTCTTCCTGCAGCAGAAGCCCCGCTGCATAAATGGGGGCAAGAAATCTGTTCACCAATCCCCCCCCCCAGCCAACCACAAGCATGAGTGAGTGTGCTCGCACACGCACACGCACACAGTCAAGAAGAAGGACGTTAGAAAATTATATTGCATCAGATCCCCTTTTCTGCATTTTTGGGGATTGTTTTCTTATCCTCTGCGTAAGTGTCTAAGCAAATCTGAGATTTAATAAGAAAACTATAAGGAGAGATGCTATAACACCCCGCTGCTCAACTGTATATTTTATTGTATGCAGTGCATTGTTAAACCAAAGTGGACTTACAATTCATTTGGAACATTTTTCCTTCAGCTATTTCTTGACAAGCAATTTTCTTTAGTTCTCAAACCAAATGCATCTCACAGAGGGATTCAGTCCTGCCTCTCTTCTGAAGAAGCTCAGGCAGAGAGCTCTCTGAAGAGCAGGGGATCCAGGGTAAGATCTGAACTTGAATGTGTCCTGATTTCTTCCCCTAAAATATTTAGCAAAAGGTGTAAGCTGAAAATCAAGCCCAGCTGTGATATTACAATATAGCCTTCAAGGGAGAGAATTCATGTAAGTTTCATTAGGCGGAGAATCATTCTATGCCTTTATGCTATTTAATTTTGTTACAGACAAAATCTACACACACCAGAGAGACAGCTTGTTCCAATCTCTGTGTGCGTTGCACAAATATTTGTCTGTGCGTCGCTTCTTTTCCACTGCAATCATGGCATCTGGAGGGGTTTCAGGCTGTGTGTAGCTGGGTAACGGGTAGGTGGCTGGGAATCTCAGCAGGAAAGAGGGAGTAGATTGCAGACACCAGGTCTGCAACAGTTTCAATGTCCTGGATAAGCAGGTCTACGATCCTCTCCCCTTTATGCAGGCTTGTTCAACCCCAGACACCTGAACTTGACATGTGGACCTGGGCACCGGCCTTGTTACAGACACCTGCATTCACATGCAAGAGATGAACAGGGCCCTGTTTTAACTCCAGGTGCATCTCCAGTATCTGCGTTCACATGCACTAGACACACGTGGTGGACCACAGAATGCACATGCCGCACTGCGAAACAGCCCTAGGCACCCCGATTCTCCCCATTCTCAGCAAAGCACTTAACTGCACACTTCACTTTAAGCATGTGAGTAAGTCCACCCCTGTTCTGCAAAGCATTTCAACAGGATTTAAGCACACGCTTAAGTGTTTTGCTGAATCAGGGCCAGAATTAGATCCTTATGGGATGGAGGAATAATACTGAATAAAGAAAAAGCCCTCTCTTGCTTTCCTATTCACTGACGTCAATGGGAGTTTGCCCTGAGTTCGGACAGGTAAATCAGGCCTTTCCAGAGAACTCTGTTGCTAAGGAAGCAAAAATAATAATAATCTTGTTGAATTATGCTAGGATCTTGCTAAAAGGCACAGAACAGATTAAAAGGCAAGCAGTGAAAATGTCGTGGGAGTTAGCTTTACCTTCCCCGGAATGATTTTCTACTTGTTTTGATCATCTAGTAGTGAAATCTGCAGGTGAAGCATTATTTAAGTCCTGTCCTTAAAACTGAATGAACTTAGGGCCAAATTTACAAAGGTCTTCAGGGCCAAAAGATCCAGATTGGCACCTAGTGGGATTCTCAAAAGTGCCTACGTGGGTTAGGTGCCAACCTCCCATTAAAGTCAATGGGAGTTAGGGACCTCATTCATTCAGGCACTTGTGTAAATTACGCTAGGTTCCTATTGCATCTTTACCTGCTGAAATTCCTTTGTAAATCTGACCCTTAGTAATTTTGGGTGCCACACAGATTCTTTCTTTTAATGTATAATTTAGGCTAATCTAAGCACATAGACAAAAGGAGTAAAAGGAAAAAATAACAACTAAAGAACAGAGAATACATTATTAAGTATTCACTTTAATGACTGAGATTTTCAAAGCTGTAGAGGAGATCTGCAGGGCTCGGCTGCCATTAAAATGAATGGGAATCAGTTTCCAGGCAGCTCCAGAAATTGTCGTTAGAATGCCTAAAAGCCTGAGCAGGATGGAGACCTTATGATGATGGATGCTGGACAAACACAAAAGAAAAGGAAAAATAAATGAATCTCAGCCCCGCAGCCACGGGTGTGATTCTACAGCCTTTAGTCACAGGGGCAATCCTTACTCACACAAGCAGTCTCACTCAGGGCCTGAGCTAGCAAAGACTTAAGCATGGGAGTAATTTTGCTCCTGTGAGACAAGCAGCGCTATCCACATGCTTGAGTCTTGGCAGGATCGGACCCTGACATCACTGGCAGAGAAAGGTGTCCCGTGAGTCTTGATGATAGGCTCAGGCTCCATCCCCACTCAGGAAACAGCCTGTATAAAACGAATAGAGACCATTGAGGATCTCACCGGTTGGTATATCATTGCGTGTGACTGCATGGAATGTTCATAGATAAAAGGCATAGCAAAAAAGGGATTGTCCCCTTTAATGTCTTTTCATTCAGGAGGGCCAAAACAATGCTGCTGAACAAGAATTTTTAGAGTGGATTGTTTAATGAATGATCTTTTGGGTTTTTTGCTTTCGGAAAAAATGGAGCAGATGTTCTGCTACCTAAATCCTGCCCTGATCTCTACTCTGTGGTCTCCATGTCATCACTGCTGGTAGCCTGGCAGTGGGAGACAGCAGGCTCTTTGGAGACTCTTTGTTCTGTGTTTGTACAGCACCTGGCATGTTGGGGTCCAGGCCCATCACTGGGGCTCTTAGCTGCTACGGAAAAACAAATAATAAATAACAACAATTAATGGCACTGCCTGGCTCTCAGAGGGTGAAACTCATCCCTGCTCAGAAAGCCAGCACTAACTCCATGCACCACTTAACCCCTTATTAGCAGGACTTGAGTACAGCACAGGGCCTTTGGCAAAGGGGCAAATTTATGCCATAAATAACTTTCAATCCTTCCTTTCTCTCTCTCTTTTTTTCTTTTTTTTTAATGGACCCTGGAGGTTTCACACATGAGGCCTAAATCCTATTCCCCACGCTGCATTAGGGCCCTGATTCAGAAGAGCAATTAAGCATGTGCATAACTTTAAGCCTGTACTCAGTGACTTCAGTGGGAGCTAAGTAAGTGTTTAAAGTTAAACACGCAGCTGGGTGCTTTCCTGAATCAGGGCTGCAGGCTGGATTTGTCCCATAATGCTTTGCAGAAGCCCCTCTCTCTTATCAAGCATTTCTCCAGGCAGTACAGTATGGCCAATTCATATAAGAAATATGGATTGTGATTTTCAAAAGTGACTTGTGATTTTGGGTCCCCAACATGACACCTTATAGGGCCTTGATTTTCAGAAAGTGCTGAGAACCCACCCCTCTGAAAATCAGGGGTGGTACCCACAAATCTAAGGCACCCCAAATTATGAACGTCTGTTGAAAATCTTGAGGCATGGTTTATGACTCACTTGCAAGAACCCAACACAAATCAACATTGCATGGATTCCGACTTTCCAAGCCAGAAGCAGTATGCAGCATCAGCTCTCCCTTGCTACCCAGAGGTGACAATGCACCCTGCCATTAAACTAGAGAGTTCCCTTAAAAGAAAGGATAAAATTGCACAGTCCTTGGGGAGGGCAATTCCAAGGCTTTTCAGTTAAACACCCAAAATTATGAATGCAGTGGTCTGTAATTCTAGCTAATCAACTATTCCGTCACTCTGTGTTGCCAGCTAAAGGTAGGCTGAGAATCAGTGACACAAAGCAATGTAAACCCAGGGACCAAGCTTTATTTAAGAGCCCCCTGTTCAGTATAATCCTGAGACCTGGGAAGTAAAAATCCCAGTTAGGGGCCCAGTTCTGCATTTGCGCTCAGAACTCCCACTGAATTCAAGGAAATCAATGGGAAGTTTTTCTGAGGAACCACAGAGTTCCGACCAGAAAGATACCCTGAATTCAGGGGGATGTATTGTAATCCTGAACATTGGGGTTCTATTGTGCCAGGCACTGCATAAACAGAAAACAGAAATGCTGCCCCCCCCAA